CAGAGAGGCTTTTGTACCAGGGAGGGTCCCGCAGGGTCCTGCTTGGTTCCATCCCTAGAGCTGGGATATCTCAGAACTGAGTTGAGTCTGTTAGAATTATAGAGTAGAGGAGACTCTCAGTTCCTGCTCTGGACAGGCCTCTGGGGACAAATATAAGATATTTGTTTCTCCTTATCTTCAAGATAAGGTACACTATGTGCAAGCATGAAAGAAAACATTTTTCTTCTACCTCCAACAGATGTGATTTTTACGAATGATTAAAGAACTAACATGGTCTTTATGGATGGAAACTAACTTTGACAAACCATCTTTCCTGTGCCGTAAATCACATTAAATATTCCAGAAGTAAGTGGGACTGATAACATGATAGCTCAGGCCTGGCAGGGATAGATCATTCTTCGGTTTCAAATGGGTGTCATTCCTTTTTGAATGAACTACGAGTAACATGCGTGACCCTAAAACATAGGAACTGAGTGCAACAGCTCTTCAGCTGTTCTCTCCAATATGATAGACACTAGCCATACGTGGCTACTTAGTTTTAAATTAATAAAAATTAAAGCTGCTTAGTCACATTAGCTACATTTCAAGTGTTCAACAGCCACTAAGGTCTAGCGGCTACCATATTGGAAAGCACAGAGATGTTTTCATCATCACAGAGAATTCTGCTGGACAATGTTGCTCAGGCAGTGATGATTTCAGCCCCTGTTATGGAGAGTGTTCAGCCCTTGGAAAGGACAATATGGGAAACTCTCTCTTGGGTGCTAGGGAGGGAGCAAGGCTGAGGGGTTCCCTTTACGGGACTCTCAAAAACTAGGTGGAAAGGAAATCAGATAAAGGAGCCTGTAAAGTTATTCTACTCCACTGGGGCCTGCAAGGACTGTTATGTTAGGATGAAGAGATACGGTCTTTTTGAAGCTATTTGCTGCTATACTAGGACAATATCATACAAAGTCAGGGTTTTTTTTTGTTTGTTTGTTTTTTGTCTTTTTTTGCTACACTAGGACAAAAGTTTAAAAAATGGAGCTGTTACATGCAATAGTAGAGAGAAGCAAAAGGAGGAATCTGAAGGAGAAGTGAAAATATAAGGAAAAGAAAGTAGAAAGAGACTCTTTCCCATGCAGAGATTTTCCTTTTCTTTGGAGGATTTGTGTTTCTTCTGATAGAGTGTCATTTCTTACTGGAGAGAGGCACACTGTAAAATCATTGCCTTTGCTTATAAGGGGAACTTCTCGCTCCTCCACTTTTCCATTGTTTTATGATGTTTATGTTGAAGGGTAGCAGAATATGCCACCCCAAAATATGCCACATTAGCATAAGGATTGCTTTGAGCTGAAGGCAACTGAGAAGAAGCAACACAGGAAAAGCCCTCTGCCTTCCCTCTATTTCCCTAAAAGCAGGACAGAAAGGTGTCCCCTCACCCCATTCCAGGAAGGACAGAAGACCTCTAGATCCGGATCAGCCAAGAGATGGCGCTGGAGGAATCTACATAACTTTACGCACTAGCCCTTATTTTTCATTGATTTTCATATATTTCCCTTCTCACAACTTGCTGTCCTAGAAACTCAAAGTTCTTTTCCCCTGTCTTGTGACTTCTCTAAAAATTTATCGCTTTTTTTGTTCAGATACTGTTGTCAAAAACAAGACAACTGGCCCAAAATGGAGTCACTTGTGCTAAGCTAATTATAGTCTCAGCTCTTCCAGAAATGGAATCTTAAACCAGTCAATCAGAGATTGCTTAATCAGTACTAGTTAGGTCATCTGCCATCCCCTAAGGGAAAGTAACCTTGCCATAAGCAATCTGCTTTTTCATCTAGTATAATTTCCTGTTCCCTCTCCCTTCTGCCTATAGAAGTCTCTTATTTTGCATAGCTCCTCAGAGCACCTTTCTGTTGGTTGGATGCTGCCCAATTCATGAATTGTTGAATAAAGCCAGTAAGATCTTTAAATTTTACTCAGTCGAATTTTGCTTTTTAACATTATGTAAGCCCAAATTCTAATCACCCTTCTGAGTTACTCATGACTGAGTACTCCCAGTGCATGTGTGATGCATATGTTAATAAACTTCTGTTTGTTTTTCTCTTGTTAATCTGTCTTTTATGAGTTCTAATTTACAGGGCCAATGAACCTAAGAGGAGAAGAGAGAAACAATTTTCCTTCTCCAATCGTGTTTTAATAATAAAATGCCTCAGGTCTACTCTGAGTTTAGCTTCAACTTATAAGTTTGATTTGCCCTCTGAGAGCCATTTGAGTTGAAGTACCTCCGGTATCCAATATTTTGCATGCCCCAATATTGGGGATTTGTGGTTTGCCCAACTTGTAATTATTCATAGAAATAGGGGAAGCAGGCATAGAAATTACCAGGATTCATGATAGTTAATAAGAGCAAATACTTACTGAACATTTACTGTGTGTCAAGTACCATGTTAAGTGCTTAATGTTAACATTATTTCATTTAATCCCTCAACCTGACAACTAAGGAATGTCACCCCTGCCATCTGGATCTAAAAGGATTGAATTGTTTGCCACTGGTCGCTGACCTTCAACACACCCTGAAAGGAGCTGAGGATGGAGATCAGGAATGAGATACTCTGTGCTCTGGGAAAACTGGCAGAACAAGCCTTCAGATAGATATTTTCAGCAGAAAAGTCTATGAATCCAGTTTCTTGCGTCTACTCATATTTAGAAAAGCACTAAACTCTTTAACTAAGATAGCTGTGCCCTGTGACTAGCAGTAACCCTTTACCAAGACGTGTGCTTGATTGCACGTACTCCTCTTCTCCAAAATCACATACATGTTGACTTCCTCCCTTACCTCTTAGGAGCAGTTCATCAGAGCTGAGAGGCTGTCTCCTGGGCTATAGTCTTCAATAAGTACCCCCCCAAAACTGAAACTCACAGCTCTCATGGTGTGTGTTTTTATTTCAGTCAACAACACAGTGGTCCACGTACTGTTATTTCCATTTTATAGAAAAGGAAAATGAGGCTGTTAGACTAACTAACTTGTCCTGGATTAGATAACTAGGAAACAGCAGAAACAAGGTTCAAACCCAGGACTTTCTGACTCAAGAGCCTGCACTCTTGTCTGGACATGACTTTTTATATATTTTAGTATGCTGGTTGAAACTATTGAAACCAACGCTAGTATTAGCAATCTCCCATTGACTCATCAGTCAAAAAATGTTTCAGTGATTACAGAATCATAAACTGAACACAGAACAAGACCTCTCTTGCTGTTTTAAGTAGTTCAGAAAGCTTTAGTTCATTATATTGGTGTTTGACTTCGCAGGTCTCAGAAAAGGATGCATTCAGTAAGTGAATTTATGTTTTTTAATCCTTTCTGCTTTTCTCTTTTGGGAGTTCCTGTGGAGTTGCTAATGATGACAGTTGACATGGATCAAAGGCAGACAAAACATAAGGGAGAGACTACTGGAAGGAGCCTGGCTGATTGAATAGAAACTCCCTAAGGAATCCGCTCCTAAATGATTGAAAAGCGTCAGCCTAGCCTTTAGAGTGTGAAGCTGAATATTGGCGAGGAAGCTACCCTTCTACTTGCTGATGAGGCCAGGAGAAAGGTTCAACTTATCAGAGAAACTGACATTTCTTGTCTTATTACATTGAAATAGGAACTGGCCTGGTTATCCATTTTTTTCCCCCGCAGCAACATAAGAGAGTTTAGATTGAAGGTAAGTGCAAGTCTGTGCAAGTCTCCGTGGATGTGAATATGAATATATCTTTTCAAACAGATTGTAAAGCTTTCTGAGGATATGGATTATTTCTTTTCTTTCTAGAACTAAGCAAGGTTTCACTTACGACTGATAACCGGTACATTTGTTGATGCTGATTTGGTTCTACCTTAAACACAAACAGAATGTGAAAATGAAGGAAAGTTGTCGTTCACTTGTATTATAGGAATTTATTTAGTACCTAGGATAGCTCAAATTATTAGTAAGCTGAAAACGCACCTGGTTATGTGCCACTTGTAGCTGCAAATGAGATGAACTAGGTCTGGAAAGTCAGATTCATGTGAAACTAAAAGCGTAGCAAAAGCCAGAAATGAAAGTAGACCTAATTTTTCAAAAAAGTTAAAATGCCAAATATAAATAGTTAATACCACTTGTGAAAATACAAAACCTCAAACCTTCAGCTTTCTCTGCAAAATAAGTTGGAGGCGGTAGGGTTTGACCCAGGCACTAGGCAATGATGCTCTTAAAGGCGTTTCAGCGTTGACATCCTGGGATATTACAGTGGAGTAGGAGGCTGCCAAACTTGATCATATATCCTATGCACGTTAATCGACTTTCTCCACACCCTCCTCCCCGTGGCGCCCCCCGCCCCGCAATCTTTTCACGCCCTTTTAAGGCTATTTAGCAAAACGTGGGCCTAAGGAGGCGCCTGCTGAATGAACGAACACCTGCCGTGTTCTACCGTGCTTTTTGGTAGATCCCAAATCCAGTTCAGGACCTGGTAGAGGTCAAGCTTCCCTACTCCGCCCCGCACTTTCCTCTTCCAAGAACGAGGTCTAAACTGGTGCCTGCGTAGTGACTGGCCGCGGGGGTTCTCACTGCGGGGCAACTTGTCTTGCTCTAATGATCTGGGACAGGCACCCGCAGTTAGCTCCCTTAACAGAATTAGGGCCGAGCGGGCTCTGAACGCGGGAGCGCCAGATACTGCCTTAAAGCAGATCCAAATAGTCAATCTTTGAGGACTCACGTGGACAAAAGAGGACCAGAGCCCTCGCGGTCCGCTGAAAAACTTCTCCCCGCCTTCCTCCCACACTATCTTGTTGCTACAGCAACTGTGGGCGTCACCAACCAGAAGGCGGAAATCGGGCAAAAAGAGTACACGTCTCCAGTCTAGGGACAGAGCCATTGCGCAGGCGCATTAGCTTTTTCTGGCTGTAGCTCTCAGCCCGCAGATGTATTCTGCGACTGCGCATCAGTTGTTTCACGCCTTGCTGGGTCTGTACGCTTGCGCAAAGTGGCAACTCGGGGAGGGCGGAGCTGGGCTATAGAGGTGCGCATGCGCCAACGTTACATCCGGTGTGGTGGTCGGGTCCGCCAGGAGTTTGGGGACGCCCGCCGGAGTTTGGAGCGTTTAGCCATGTCGGCGTCGGTATTGTCGGTCATCTCGCGGTTCTTAGAAGAGTACTTGAGCTCCACTCCTCAACGTCTGAAGTTGTTGGACGCCTACCTCCTGTATATATTACTGACCGGGGCGCTGCAATTCGGTTATTGTCTCCTCGTGGGGACCTTCCCCTTCAACTCTTTCCTCTCGGGCTTCATCTCTTGTGTGGGGAGCTTCATCCTAGCGGGTAATGATTCTATAAGTAATCTCAGTAATAATGTGTTACTTTGATGCACTGCTTTTATTCCCACAGTACTCGTCTGTGTTTATCAGACCGCCTCGTGATGAGAGGAGCCTGTATTGCCTTCTTGTGAATGGGGAAATGGAGGCTCAGAAAGGTTTGTCAGGACTATACCAAAGAGCCACCGAGGAGCTGGAAGTAAATTCTAGAAACCACCTTAATGCTGCTGCTCAACCTGGTGATGGCAGTTCACTTTGTTTTGTCCAGGGACAACTCCATTCCATCTTTCACCTAACTTCTTTTTTAAATTTTATTTATTTATTTTTATTGAACTGTAGTTTGTTTACAATGTTAGTTTCAGGTGTACAGCAAAGAGATTGAGTTACACGTACACACACACATATATTTTCAGATTCTTCTCCATTATGGCTTATTACGAGAAATTGAATATAGTTTCGTGGACTACACAGTAGGTCCTGTTGTTTCTCTATTTTATGTATTGTAATGTGTATCTGTTAATCCCAAACTCCTATTTTATCCCTTCCTCCCAACTTTCACTTAGCTTTAACACAACCTTAAAGCTGATAGACTTAAAATGGACCCACTCTGAAGTTATTTCACTATGCTGAGCTTAGTTTTCATTCACATAGTTCTATTTTAGCCTTATTATTCTTTCTGATTTACAGCCAGTTTGTTACCGTGTAGACTGCCATATGTAATGAGAATTGGCCGTCCCCATAGATTTTTGCCAAAATGTGACCGTTCATCCTCTACAGGGATTCAGTGAATACTGAGCCCAGGCTTGGCCCAGGGAGTGTTAGCCAGTGCAATTTATAGGTGCCTGTACCCCATGAACCTTTCCAGTCACTGGTATGTCCTGCTCCATGTCTTGAAGAACATGCTGCAATTCACGGTTTTTCTTTTTTTCATCATAAGGTTGTCAACTATATTTTGAATCTAATACAGGGTAAAATATGGTAAAAGCTTTGAGGATACATCTGTAGGTCCCTTGTATTCAAAGAGTTCATACAGTGTAATTGGGGCACAGACAATACAGCATTAGAATTGTGTGGAGACTTCATTTACAATGGAGGTTTAATTACAGCTTAAAGTTGTCAATCTATAGAATTCTTTTTACACATTCAAATTGCTGGTTCAGACTCAGGCCAGAGATACTCTGCCTTCTCCGTTTCTTAGAACTTAAAATAAGCCTAAGGACACGTATGCCAGCTTGATCTGGAGTTGCAGAGGTAGCCTGTATCATCTTTGAATTTTATCTGAGTTGATCAGGACCTGGTTCTCTGTGGCACCATCCTGGCCTTTAGGAGTTTATATGTTATCATCATCAGATACATCAGAGACACTACTCTCCTTGCTCTAGACTCCCCCTTCCTCCCTACAAATTCTGTTTATGACCAAGAATTTTTTTAGACAGGAGAAGGAATCTTGAGAATGTCTGATTTTGTCTTCTAGATCTGAAAAAGTAGGAATAGGGTGGGGCCTAAAAGCTGATTTAAAAAAAGCCTTCTCTCTGCTGAAGTCACCCTGGCTTCATAAGTTTCTAGGGCTAAGAATGACTTCTCAGGGCTACATGGAAGGGTGTGGTTTGCAGAAGAGTGGTGTGGACTAGAGCTATAGATGATAGGTATGATAAAAGTCAGAAGATTTTTTTTGAGCAGATAGTTTTTCCTTATGCCAGGTCTTGTTTTTGAGGCTAAGATTCAATTGGCAGACTCCCTTCTCTCCTCCGATGGCTTGTCCGGGAAGAGAATGCCTAGTGAAAGGGCCTTTAATAGTGGAGTCCTTAGTGGGGAATCAAGATTTCCATAGCTGTTAGACAACAGGTCATTGGGCCAGAGAAATGTAAGTTGCTTCGAGAAAAGAAGAGATTCATGACAACTCATAGTTGCCCTGGAAGGATATCATTTGCACTTCTTTCCACAGCCTTGACCTTACTAAGTCCACCGCTGCCATTCGTTAGCCCAAATCCTCAACTGGATACATGTTTTAATGGGAAATTTGAAATTTTGAGTTTATCCTTTGTTCTATTTGTTGAGAAGGGGAAGCTTGTACCTGTCTCTGGTGCTGGGGTTTCTAACTTCCCTATGGGAAGAGAAAGGAAGAGGCCAGTTTGGCTGAGAAAGGGAATTGTAGGAGATTACGTTGAAGGATTAGTAGTGCTGGATGCTAGAGCTTTGAGTGCCAGGCCAAGGAATTTTATCCTGTAGGTAATAGGAATGCATCTAAAGACCTTTTTTTTTTTTTTTTAAAGATTTGAGTAAAAGATTTAAAATTGGTGCTAGTGTGTAGGATGAATTGGAGGAAAAAGTTTTAAAAATCTGGTTCCCTTAGTTTCTTTTTGGTAGTCTGATCTCTTGCATTCCTTCTGCATGTGTTATATGCATATGCTCTTTAGAAATTAATCAGTACATTGTAAATCAATATAGAATGCTACCACATTTTCTAAAGAGCCTGGTGTTATTTGGGTCCAATGAAAATGTGGTTTTCTATTTCTTCATGACTGGGAGACTTACCCATGGTTTCAGGAAGGAGCCAGAGGCAGAAAATTGCTATTGAGAAATCTTTTTTTTTTCCTCCCTTGATCAACATTTTATATTTTAAAGCCAGTAGGCTTTCAAAGGGCTTGAGAGGTAGAATATTTTTCTTCCAGACAGATTTCATGCATCCTCAGCAGCTGACTGTGTATCTTGTGGTTAGACATCTCTAGAGGAGGACATCTGTCCCCTTTTTGGGTTGCCTCCCTGTGCTGGCACCCCTCATAGTTTCCTTTTTTACCTCACTGGAATCCCTCGTTTTGCTCATTCAGAGTGCTGTTTAGGAAGGATAAGTGGAAAACATTGACTGTCCTTAAAATAAGTCTTTGATCTTGAAATTTGCTTTTAAGTCATTTCACAACTTTGGTTTGTTCTGTTTTCTAATCTATATGAAATAATTTTGGATTAAAAATTAGTTTTATTCCTCCAGTTTACACATCCAAAAACACTTTGAATTTGAAAGGTGAGGAGGCCTAATTCAGAGTGTTTTTTTTTTGTTTTTCTCTCATGGGAGCTCTTAGGCTGTGTGGACTGGGGTCCAGCATTTCTTTGGGAATTATCTGTTGAATTTCTGGGCCCATAACTGTAATCCTAAGAGATTGGAAGTTTGTCAGCCTTATGCCTGAGAGCCCTGTTTCTAAATCTCTTTCATATCCATTGCTACCTCTTCATCCTCTGTCACTCAGGCGCTCAGTATCTCTCATCTAGACTACCGTAATCTTCCTTATTGATCTCCCAGCCTCTGGTCTCCCTCCCTCCAGTCCCTCTTTCACTGTGTCTGCAGGTTTGATTTGACTTGCAAATCTGATTGTGCCACTCCCCACATAAAATTTGTCTGTGGTTCCCAGAGAAAAATTAAAAAATTTTTTCATGGCATAGAGACTCTTTTATCATCTGGTCCTAGCCATATCTCCAGCTTCATCTCTTGCCTCAGCATCCTCTGTGCTTTGTATTCCAGCATTATTGAGTTACTTGTTATTCCCTGAACGTGCTGTGATGTCTTAAGCTATTTTATCTGTATTCAACTGCCTGGAAAAGTCCTTCACCTCCTAGACATCTCAGCTCAAGTGCTGCTTCCCTTTGGAACCCTTCCCTGGCTCTTAAGATTTAGGTCTTTCCCCTGTGTTCCTGTTTCACTACACTGAACTGATTTAGTGCTCTTTTCATCTCTGCATCCTCTGTACTTAACACTGTATGTAAAATTGTGAGCATGCCTGTAATAATTTAAGGAATATTGAGCAACTATCTGCCCGGTTCTCTGCCAAGGAACTGAGGATTCAACTGTGAAACACACAGACATGGTCTCTGCTCCTACAGAGTTTATAATCTAGTAGGAAATGCAGACAAGTGAACATGAATATAGTGCTGTGATGAAGAAGTACTGGCAAGAATAGGAACACAGATAGGCACTCAGCCCTGTCAGTGGTTCCATAATACTTCCCTAATATGTTTGCTTTTCCAAAATAATGCTTCATAATTTCTCTCTTCACTCTTGTGTATTTCCTCCTTTCCTTTATTCTCAGCACAGTGTTTCAGTTGTACATATACCATACCATAAACAGGTACAAGCCTTCCCTTCCCAACAAGCAGAACAAGGGATAAACTCCAAATTTCAGATTCCCCATTAAAACCGGTGTCCAGTTGTGGACAGTGGTGGGTATATTACCTGTCAACCAATAGAGAATTCATCTCATTGTTTTGAATAATTGCGTGGGATTTCATGGCATGCCTGTAGTGTAATTTATTTAAATAAGCCCCTTGATGACATTGGACTGTTCTCACTTTTTTTTAACTTTACAATGTGCTGTTAGAATGTCTGTTCTGTAAGATAAATTCCTTCATCAAAGGTAAAAACATTTTAAATATTAATAGATATTGCCAGCTGCTCTTCCAAATGGATGAACCAATATATACTCTCCACAGCAGGATTTTAATTGGTCACCCTTGCTTCAGTCAGTGTCCTTCATATTTTGAAGGGTCCAGGTGCCTCTGATGCTTCAGTATCTGCATGTTTAAGTATAATGAAAACTGTTGCCATGGTGATGGACTCTGGAGAAGTGGTCTGGTAGTTTTCTGACCTTTGGGTTTGATCTCAGTTCATTGCTTTTTTCTGGATAGTGATAGAATGGATGCTAGCTTGAAGCAAATTTGGGTTTTCTTAAGTAAACTGTAATCATTTGTCACAGGCATAAAGATATTTTGGAAGAGTGTATTCCTGGAGCTTCCTTTTCATGTCAAATGGTGACTGTGGCTACTGTTGAGGTTAGAATCTTCCAGGGTGCAGAATGTGGCAGTGGAGAGTTCTCTGTCAGAGTTCTATAACTGGTCTCTTGCCTAAATTTTTGAGACAAGCAGCTGCTAAAACACTGAGATCAAAGATTATCTACAACTGTGAGGGCCTCATGGGTAAACATCTTTGCTACCTAACATTATACACATCCTATTGCAAATAATTCACAATTTTATAACTTTTGGTCATTCAGACTAGTGCCTTTGTTACTGCCTCAACTACATCCTGATTTAAGTATAATTATAAACTTAAATCAGGAGACAAAAGGGTTTTGAAGATTTTTTTGGAGGTATATATATATAATATATAATATATAAATATATATATAGTTTTTTCCTAAGTAAGCCTTTGGGTTTTAGCCTAACTCTGAGAAGTCATATTGTTCCCATTAGCAATTAACAACATAAAATTTATGTGAACAACTTGATGAATTTTAAAATTCATCCTTTTAGCCACCCACCACCCAGATCGAGAACATTACCAGCATCCTAGAGGCCTCTTGTCTACCTTCCCAGTCATTCGTCCTCCCGTGAAAGATAAAGACCATCATCCTGACTTGTATTACCGTAGATTGGTTTTGGCCAATTTTAAGCTTTATATAAATAGAATCATGCAGCAAGTATTTTTTTGCAACTGGATTGTGTTCCTCGACATTGTATTTGTGGAATTCATCCAGTTGTGAAGTTCCTTTTTATTTCATTACTATATAGTATTCTGTTGCATGCGGATGCCGTGATTTACCCATTTTACGGTTGATGGACATTAGGTTGTTGCCAGGTGGGGGCTGTCATGGGTATCATTCCTGTAACTGCCTTTTGATGGACTAGTGTGTCATTTCTGTTGGAATAGAATTGTTGGGTCATAGAGTATGTGTATGTTCATCAGTCATACTTGTTTCCTACTTTTTGATAACCATTTTTGTGTTTTGTTTCTTGTCCAGTTTGTCTGAGAATACAAATCAACCCACAGAACAAAGCGGATTTCCAAGGCATCTCCCCGGAGCGAGCCTTTGCAGATTTTCTGTTTGCCAGCACCATCCTGCACCTCGTTGTCATGAACTTCGTTGGCTGAATCATTCCCGTTTACTTAATTGAGGAGTGGGAGACTAGAAAAATGTGAGTGATGATCATAGCCCTTGTCCCATAATGTCGATTTTAGGAATAGAAATTGAATGGGTTTTGATTATGGTTGGCACGGCTCCCATATTGCTGATAAGACATTTGCAGAATTTTCCATATCCGCCTGCAGAGTATGCATTAATATCATCCTGATTCATCAGTGTTGCCGCTCTTGGTCATTGCCTTCTCTAGTCACTGTTCTGCAAATCATTAAGATAACAGAAAATGAGAGTTTGCTTGTAGCTAATACATTAATTTCTGCGCCAGTAACTCCATGAAAATAACTCCGAGATCTTGGAAGAGACATAAATTGTAGGTTTTGCTTTTAGATTTGCTTTGTAATTTTTTTTTTTTTTAATTTTGATCTCAGAGGACTTGAGATGCTGGGCCATTGTCCGCGAAGTACCTAGTACAGTGCTTACACCTGAGTGACATCCAGTGTATGCTGAGTGGTGATGATAGCTGTTTGCTAATGTGTGTGCTAAGTTAAAAATAAATGGAAAAATTGGACCAGCTTGGGAGAACACTTTAAAATATAGGATGAGATACCATTTGACTCATTTTCCAGTCTTCCTTTTTTAGCAATAGAGCTCTTTTTTTCTAGGTAAACTCATATAGAATCTCAGTATATAAAACAGTAGTGGGCCAGAGTTGTTTTGACTGACAGAAGTTGAAAAGCCCTCTTTACTTGGCTTCTTCATGTGTGGTATGGCCTCTTCTCCATCCTTCCCTCCTAAGCAGAATCCTAAAGCTCTGAGAATTGCATGACTAAAGATCAACAAACTGTATGTCAACACTTATTTTATATGTAAGAAAACAGAGGTCCAGAGCAGTCCAGCGACTTTCCCCGGCCAAGTGGCTGCAGGGTAGCGCATTAGTCCAGCGGTGCTCTTGGCCCAGTGCATTTCCAGTATCCCGTGTAGCTTCCTGATGAGTGAATGCGCTCTATTCTTTGCCTTTCCACTACAAAATTATATGTTGCAATTACTGGGGTAGAGAAAAGAGAACCTTAGGCAACGTTATCCTGTTAGGGGGAAGAATATCCCAGGACCAGTCTCTTTCTATCACTACTTGGAAGGCTGTCATTTTTGTACTAATCAGAAATCTAATAAAAGGGTTAGAGCAACCATGGACAAGGTGAATGCAATAAAGCAACAATGACCACACTTCAGATTCTGGCATGATTTAATCAGCTACTTTATATATTACACAGATCTTTTCCATTATTGATATTGCCTCAGAAACAGTTCTGTTAGTTCAGATAAGGTTTCATTTTTGGCAGTGGTATGTTGACAGAGATGGTTTATATCAGTGAAAAAGTTTGAGAACCACTTCTTTCTACTGTCCTAATACAACTGAACTCTTTGGAGACCTGATTGGGACTCCCCCATGTGCCAGTCAATGCCTCAATGCTGGGAGTACAAAGAAGAGTAAAATGTGGCTCCTACCTTCAAGAAGTGAACAGTCTAGAAGGGGAGAAGGCATGTAAACACAGCAGCAAGAGCCACACTCAAGACCTGAGCAAAGCGCTGTGGGAGTCCAGAGGAGGGAGCCGCGGTGCCATCTGGAAGCAGAGGCCACAGATGGGATGTCTGACCAATGACAGTTCCTTGAGGACAGTTAGAAAACTCATCCACCAACATTGACCTTCACTGACCTGAAAACATCATGAGTAACCCTTGGGCTCTGACAGCAGCCTTGCTGGAAAGGTCATTAGCTTCCTGATCACCTTACTTTCCGTTTCTCTGCTTGCTATTTCTAGATGAGTCATGGTGTATGCTTTAAGGAGATGGTAGAGCAGACAGTTCCAGGGTGTTCTCTAGGATCAGGGAGATACCAAATCATGAAAAATTGTTTCCTAGGACTGTCGTGATTGGAGGAGGACTCTGCTGCAGAGAGCTTAGTGTTTCGAAATTATGACAAAAACAGAGGCAAAAAAGCAGGCTCAGCAGAAACTGCAGACTGCAGACCATGTTAACGACCTTGGGCCACCTGTTCAGCTGGGAATTATGGGCCCCGGGTCTAGCAGAATCTTCCAGTCCGAGGCTGCAGTGTTAAATCATTCTATAGACAGTGCACTCAGAAATTCTTCTCCGGGGGGACCGCCCAGGGGGATTTTCACAGGCATCCGTCATTTGACACGTACTATGCCATCCTGCTCTCAGTTGGCCCTTTTTATGTGCTGCTAACTCAGTTCTGTGTGCAGTGTGCTAAAACACTTTTAAAATCGTTTTCAATATTTATATCAACTCAGATGGCAGAACAAAACACATTCTCCGTATTTGCCAAGTGTGTTGAGAGTCAAGTATAAAAAGAATAAACGTCTGTAGTGTACGGCACTTCCATGAATTTGGGGGTGACATTTAAAACCAGCAGCTACTCTGAAAAAGGGAGATCTAAAGAAAATGGCATTGGGTTAAAGAAATTTATTCAAGGAGAAGGAAGGAAGTTAACAGATAGTGAGTGCTCTCTGTGGGCCAGGCTTTAAGTGCTTCTCCTTCTGTGTCTTATTTTCAAAACAACCGCATGAGGATAGTCTTGCTAATTCCATTTACAGACGAGAAACAGAGAGCCTTGTGGGAAATCTTGTGTCTAATAATCCAGTCTGATGTCAAAGAAAAAATTTTAATATCTTTTTGCTTAAAGTTGCTTATTATAAAGTATTTGACAATTGCACAGTTAAAGAAGTATGTTTAAAGAGTTACCACAGTCCTTTCCTTTATTACTTTCTTTCCTTATATTATGACACTTTAAAAAATACAAAAAAGTACAGAGAATAATATAACAAACACCCTCCTGTATCCACCACCTGAAATGAACAGGTTTTGAAGAGATTAAGCCCTTTATAGATTGAGCTGAAGTTCCTTTGAGTCCCTCTCCAGTCCCAAATCTGGAAAGGCTTGAAATTCACGGCAGTTTTGTTTGGCAAGGACTAATGTCAAACCTAGATCTGTTAACACTATCTTTTCCACGCTTCAAACTTCTACAGTCTCCTGAAAACATGCCCAAAGATGGCCGTGTGAGAAACCTGTGGTAGAAGCTGTCCGGTTGGCAGCACTGCTTGGAGGGTGGCTATCCCGGTGGTCGAGTAGACACATCATGTTGTTTTAGATGATCATAAAAATGAAAATGCAAAAGTGAAAAATGCTCCTAGTGAGCTTCTGAGTCGGGAGAAGCCATGCACACCTGAAATGGTGATCAGCATTTGGCACCTCGGTGGTAGTAAATCTGTTTTGGGGGAATGTATGCTACAGAAGTTCAGTAGATTTGAATACTTAAAAATTAAAATGCTGTCTGTAAATATTTCCTGTTTTGTTTTTGCATGTCTCCTTCTGAAATTTTTTTCAGAAAATGTCAGCCTGTCTCAGGCATTCTGAAGGGAAATGGAGAAAAGGGGGGACATAGCTACCTTGGGTCACAGTTTGGGAAGGAAAGGTCCTGATGACGTGGGCCCTGGATCAGAGGGAAAAGTGAATGGGGCTTTGACGAAGGGACAGCCCTGAGCCTGGAAGTGTGCTCAGCCTGGGGGAGACTGCCGCAAGCTGGTGCTGAAGCCCTGTTAGTGTTGCTTTGTTTTCATAGTGGAGGCTGCTCTCCCACAGGTCTTTAAAAATTCAGTGTTTAATCCTGGCTGGACAAGGGGGCTTCTGGCCTGGGCAGAACATAACCCTGGTAAACTGTACTATTTACAAACAAGCAGTTGCTGTTGGCTTTTCGAATTCATCAGTAAAGCACTGTGGTAATCTAGAAAATTTCCTCTAAAGGGGAATCTAAATGCTATTCCTTAGGCTCTACTGCCACCTAGTGGCTTCTACATTTCATTGCTGAGAGCATGTACTACAAAGCATAGCAGAAGCTGAGTTTGGGGGAAGAAACCACAGATACCTTTGTGATGAAACCTAATTTCTTTCCAGTCACAGGAGGGCAGCAGAGGTCCAAGTGGGCATAGATATTGGGGGAGGGGGTTGCTTTACATTCTGGCCAGAAGTGGGCAGTGTCGACTTAGGCACAAAAGGGTATGTAACCTTGTAAGCGGCTCTAGGATTTGGTTACATAGGGAAGACCAAGTGCATGAAGACCCACACATTTACCTTTTGTTTCCTTTTCTTGTCAGTTCAGGAGCTCCCTTTTTGGTTTATTCTAGACCTATTTTTGCTCTGAACATGACCTCCCACGGGCAGTCATCTTTTAATTTTTTGTTGGTGGGGTGCCGGTTAGTTACTATATCATATTCTTTGTGACATTTCACCTTATACGGAAGTAGGTTTAGTCACCAAATAAGTTCTCAAAAAGGGAACTATTCTAAATTTGTAGGAAATATTTTAAATTAGCACAGCATAATCTTTTTTTCAGCCCCACCCTTTCCCTGGTTGGAGGGTGAGATTAATTCTTTACCTGGTCTTAAAACCTTGAATCTGCTTATTTTATTTACTTAAAAAAACTGATAATTGATGACTTTCTAATTGATGACTGAGCTCTATTTTGTATTTGGTCCACTTAAAGCTCCAAAAATAAAAAGAAAAGAAAAGGAAAAAAAAGGATGATTAAGTAGACTTGTGTTTATGAAGTTAATTGTGGCTGTAACTCCTGGTCTTACCTTCTCCATCCTGAGTCTCAGGTGGTTCCTACTGCGAGTCATCCACCCCCAGGTTGCACAGGAGCCTCTTCTGTGGGCCCTCAGGGTCTGCGTGCATGCCCCTAATGCTGCACTTACCACATTATTATGAAGCTATTCATTCACTTTCCTGTCTCTCCCAGTGGACTTTTAAAATTCCCTAAGGGTTGGGACCTCAGAGCTTGCTTATTAGTGCAGGGTCACAGTCCATGTTTATTGAGTGTATGAATGAATAAATCATTCTCAACTGCAGGAAAATGATGTATAAAATAGCTGTATCATTAGTTCCATGGATACTAAGACGTGTGGGAAGTGCTGTGGAAGAAAGGAGCCAAGGAAACAGTTCATATGTGGGGCCATGGGATAGGACTTGAGTGTGAGG